CTGGAGGTCTTGTACATATTCTTGTTACCCTGATAGAAAAAAAAGAGCAAATGGCATCCAAGAATGATTTTTTCAGAGGAAAAATGGTTCACAAATACAGTCACTATAAAGGGGTTTCAGAGGATAGCATTTACAATGAAAGTATTGATTAATTCAATTTGATCTCTGCATCACTGATGGGCAAAAATTTTTCCATCAAGTGAGATTGTTTTGTTGCCCAAGAAAGAACGGAGTAAACTTTCCATTAGTTGTTCACCATTATGTCAAGTGACCCAGAAACTTTTTTTAATGCATCTTATCTGTGTTTTAAATAAAGGATAAGGGGATAAGGGGGAGGATAAATATCAGTGCATCCCTAAGTAAATATTGCATTAAAATGCCACTATAATAATCCGCTTGATTAATTATACAGTAACTAGGCAAACATTTTTTAAATTCGTCCAAAAAGTAGAGCAGTTTTATTTTGATCTGTATTATGGACAAATGATTAGGTAAGATGTGTAGTGCACAGTTTGTGTTCATTATGTGTTGTATGGTATTAGTAATGCACACTTAGCTCTGCATGCACTCCACAAAACTATGGAGGATCTTCCCTGAATTATCAAAAGCACACGTACTGGGCGTTTCCATTCAATTTCAAGTGTGTGCACTTGATCAACTGACAGATATAATTGTAAAGCCCAGTTTACACGTTCTGCTTTTGCAGCTGCATTTTTGGTCTGCATTTTACTCTGCAAAGCAGACAGAGAGTTTACACCAGCTGCTTACCTTGCCTGCTCTCACTTTAAAGCCATATAGTTTCATATCAGAATGGTCAGTTACGTCTGCTTTGCAGACTGAAATAGGGCAAGTTCTATTCTGTCTGCTTGCATGTCTGCAGTGCAAAACCCCTGTTTACATGCTCTTCTTTTGCAGCTCTGCTTCAAAGCAGCTGCAAAAGCAGAGCGTGTAAACCGGGCTTAACATCCTAGACGAACTATGCATAATGCAGAGCTTTAATTGAAAAAAAAAGCTGCAATTGTGTCCCAAGTCTCCTTGACGTGACTTTTCTGAAATTCGTTGCGGAGAGGTTTTTTTTTCTGTGTGTATGTTGACCGATCTTTTTGCTGTTGCACTGTTTTCCGAAAGTTCACATGGCTTGTTTTGTACAAGACACGAGCTGGTGTTGGGAAAAAGTTGATGTGAAAAGGATGCTCCCTGGAGAGGGAAGAACTGAAACAAACTATAAATAGAAACATTTTTATCTTCACACCTATGATAAAAATCCCACAAATAACCGACTATATAGATAAAACGTAATAAGATAAAAAACAAAGGGTGTATTTTACCACTGACGGGCAGTAAATTGAAATACAGTTAACTGACTTTTAGCTATCATAATTAGGAGTAAAATTTTGAACACCATTTAGTACAGTGTCTGGCTGTTTTATGGGGTTAAGTCAATTGGTTTTTGGATAGGACACTATGGGAATCTGGTAACAAACGAAAGCCTCGATTTATTTCATCAAAGTTTTATACAGACTTGTGTTTCATATGAGGGTAAAAATATATCTTATATAGTCATGATTAAGGGATGTGTTTATAAAATCATCCTATTCTTTTTCCAATTACATATACATTTTTAAAAGGAGACCACAGGTATTGATTTTTTTTATTACTGGGCTAAATTATTCCTGAGGATGACTGCTAGGTAGGTATTAGAATTACTTAATTGTATTTGATAAATCGTAATGTAACAAGGTCATACATAAGCTTAAGGTAAAGTAGATTAATTGTATTTAAAATTACTTAAGGCTTCGTAAAGGTCTAGAATCGAGAGCTTGGCCCCCCATCAAAGGGTTTTTAACTAGATTTTTAAAACCTAAAATGACACAGAATAAATTGATCTGCTTATGGTAGCATTTATATTGACTCAAATGTTCATAAATTAAAGAAAGAAAAATAAGTATGCTGTGTGTAAAATGGAAATTAATTGGCAGGTAATATATGGAATCTGTATCTGTATTTCTTCACATAAAGTGATCTTTTTGTCCGAATGTTTTCTCTGCACTTTGATTAATCTTGCTGAAAAGATTAAATGATGGATAGCAAAGTGTATATAAATATATCACAAAATACAAGTTGAGGAAGGGGTGGAGATATTGTAATGTAAGATAACAGTATCGATAAATTTTGGTATTGGCTGTTCTATATATAGAGACTATTTCCTGCTTCTACTCTACTGCTAAATAACATTTTACTAGCCTGCATTTTAACCTCTGCCTTTAGGTGTACAGGATTTACATTTTCACACTTGTCCTTCTACTAAGTGTTTGTTCAATAGAACTGGCCACTACTGGTCAGGGCTTATCTCATTTTCAAGGCTACAGTGGCAGGGTAACATAAACAGTTTGACCTTCGGGTTGGATCGACACTTTACATGTAATCAGATTGCTATTGTCCAGTCAGCAGTAATTTCTATAGGGCCAAATATTTGTCCCCTCTGGAATGATTGATCAGGGTGTTTTTTGACCTTCTCTGATCTAGGCCAGGTGTTGAAGAATATTTTAAATATGGAGAGAAAAGTCCTCGATTAAATGTTTTCTTAAGTTTAAATATCATATTAAATCCACCGAATATTGTGTATTTACATGATAAATGCACAATACAGTCATATATACATGTAGAATATACAGCTAATTTTCAGCTGTACATTATAAACTGGAAATAAATTAATTACATTCAGCTCTCAGTAAACTTTTATGTAATTTAGAGGCTACTTCTAGCTATTACACACACGTGAACATAGGGATAGTGACAATCAGATATGCTGAAGTGGTCATTTTTGGCCCAATGACCTATTTGATGACCTCTAGACCTACTTATACCAGGCCATATATAGAGATATAATGGTCATCAAATCATTTACAACTGTCAGTTAGATGTGGGCCATCCTGTCACATAATTAACGAAGTGCTTCGTCATTAATTACACATCCAGGCAAGGTGGGCCTGTTGGTACTGGTTTGCCGTCTTTTTATTATTTCTTTGAAGACCCACTTGTAACATTAATAAGAAAGTAAAAGTTGTGTATTAATATCCTATAAAGTTATTTCTGATAATGATCTTAATACTGTGGTGAATGTATATGACAAAGGAAAATGATGAATGGCCCTCTTCAAGAATTCCATTTTTTTTCCTTCTTCTGGTACAATAAACAAATTTTCATATAATCAATCAATGCATGGTTCTTTTAATTTGATGAAAATGCTGCTAAATCTGCAGATAATATTATTCCATGCAAATTGAGTTTTGATCCTTCCCATAAAAAATAACTAGCCTTTGTAATGGGCAACCCAAGGTCAGCCAGTGGCCCTGTGGAACTGGAATCAGGCAGTTGAGGGGTGGGTGACCTAGGGCAGCATTTTATTGACGCTGCATTGGATAATTCAAGTAAACAAACAGACGGACCTTGCCCTTGATGAGCAGACCTTGTGCTCAGCTCTGAGGCAAACACGTTTTAAGAATGCTTGGATGATTATTGCTTAGGTTGAAGTTTAACAGCTTGATAAATAAATGTTGATGCCGGCATAAAATAAAAGGTTTGCAATTTTTTTTGTGGAGGTTGTTTACATGGGGGTATGTTAAAATTTCTGAAAATTCTATTAAAGTTTAAATGAGAATACCTACCAAAGAAAAGGTTTTCCTTTATTTCATGAATTAACAGAGAGGATCTTTGAAAGCAGCTGAAATCTTAGGTAATTTAAGAACGAACAAAAAACCGTTTCAAGTGCTAAGTGGTATATTTTCAAGCAGAGACGAACTAAAAATATGCTTAACAATGATTCACTGCTCTTAAAAGTATAAAGAAAGTTTTATTAAACCGTTGAATAAAGAGTTATTTAAACAAAATTTCAATGTCCTTTTGGATGGTTTTGTTGAGCCATTAAAGATAAGAGGGTTACGATTTTACATTGATCAACACAACGGAGGTTCAGAAGCGGCCAAGGTCAGGGTTATATTTTAGAGGGCATTCAACTTCAAACAGCTGATTGGGGCGGGGAGGAGTTAAATGTACAAGTCCTTGAAACACTAGTGTGGTAAACAACTTGCACTCGGTTGTAGTATGTTCCTATCTCTCGTTGGAGACAGTACTGTTTGTATTTATCCAGCAATATAGCGGTATTATCACTGAGAATTCCCCTTGTGACCTGTCGAATGTTATACACAGGGCATCGTCATTAACAGAGCAAAAATATTTGAGGTTTTGTGGATCTGGTCTTATCTGGTTTTCGAGGAAGTGAGATGGTATATATAAAGTCAGAGGTCCCCACGGTGTCAGTCATTCAGCGATTAGCATCCCTTGTGAGCTGGTCTTGGATTGTGGTGTGTTCTGATATGGATTCGTTGCTTAGTGGTCCTCTGTGCTCAGAGAAAAGCAAGCATGAAAAAATCCGGATTCTGAGGGAGATGAAAACTATCCTTCATCTCTTCATGTGTTTTGAGTGCGTTTTATTTTTTAACTTATAAGAATTTTTTAATTAAAAAAAGAATGCTTTTGTGGACTCCAACTCATCATGGATATTGAATTTTTTAAATCATGAATCATTCTATCTTGCATTTGTCAATTTTTTTTTTGGGGGGGGGGGATAAAAAATTAACAAATGCACAAGTTGTGCTATTCACTAATATTTAGTGAGTTGTTCCAAAATCAGTAAATGTGTATTGCTGGATTATTCATGATAAAAGACTGCATAATATTTGAAAGTATTTAGGTACAAAAAAAAAAAAATTTCCCTTCACAGAAATTTCCCTTCACATAAAGAATTCCCAAATGTCAAGCTTGATTGAAGTTTGACAAGTTGCAGTAGTACTTGATGACATTTCTGGTTATAGAATAGAGCTGAAACAAGTCATTCCTGTGTATAGAGAGTCACCTTAACAATGTTTTTATAGCTTCAATGTTTGTTTAAATGTATGAATATTTAATGAGACAATAAATATTTTTTATTTTATTTGCAGTGGTTCAAGCACAGTTGCCATTGATAACAAGATTGAGCAAGCTATGGTGAGTACTATTTTTTTTAACATGTTAATTATATTATCAAAAAAAAAAAAAAAAATAGAAGGAAAAAATGAAAAATAATTCTGAAAAAAAAATCATAATGAGAGATTTATTTAATTGAAACTAAAGGTGGTTGAAAGAAAACCACAGATAATTCTAAGAAATCAATGGATATATATAATTCTAATGGGATTAATTAAAAATTTAGAGTAATTTGTAAGATGTAGCTGTTAGATTGGAGGTCAGTAGAAACTCAGTCTCTATGTAGAAGTTACAGAGTTTATTGATCACAAGGGCATGGAGATCTCTGATGGAAACCTAAAACAATTGTGAATTTTATTGCCCAATTTCTGCTGCAGTGGATATTGTTGATGTAATTGTTACCATGGAAATAACTAGTGATTGTTGTTTGTCATAGAGATGGGTTGCAGAAAAAAGATAATTTGTCTTTTTTTTTCTTTCTTTGTTTTGCTTTTTTTTGACTTAATTGGTTAATAAATGGCACAGAAATAGAAAACAATTTTTTACAAAGACTATTTTTACATTACTTCGTTGATGTTTTGATTATCTTTGGCAATAAAAGAGAAGTTAAAGAAACGGAATCTCTCAGCAGATATATAAATACATGTATTATCAAAACCTATAACCAAATTGACATGCAAAATAATTTAGGTTTGCTCAGCTCTCGGAAAACAATATATATAAAAATAAAGTATGATATTTAAGGAATCAAAATAAAGAATTCTTGGTACTGATGGAAAGTTTTTGTTTAATTTGAAAATTAATCAAGTAGTTACCATATATAGTGCTGACAGTGTGACTATCATTATTCAAAAGAAATCCTAAAAGATCACTGAACTTTCTGCACTGATTATAAATGCAATTCTGATCCTTATGCTCTTAATTAGCAGTCAACAAGTACATAATTATATTGTTCTCTCAGTAGATTATTAAATTAGATACATATATTTACCAGATAGATGAAGGTATCTTTGTGCTATTTTTAGTTCTCTTTATTACCTTGCATCAGTGTTAAGCGTTGACTAGATACATTATGAAACAGGTGAACAATCTTGACAACCTGCAACTTCCTGTAGCTTGTAAATGCATAGTAAAAACAAATATAAAGATTCAAGGAGGAAATATTCAACTGCCCATTAAATCTTTTGATGTGGGTTTAGCAAACATATGTTTTGTAAAAAGATTTGTGTTTATAAACAGCATCATTTGTTATTTCAGGATCTGGTCAAGAGCCATTTGATGTATGCCGTAAGAGAAGAGGTGGAAGTACTGAAGGAACAGATCAAAGAACTCATCGAGAAAAACTCACAACTCGAGCATGAGAACAACATCCTGAAAGCTGCCGCCAGTCCAGAAACGCTGGCCCTACTGGCTCAACCCCGCCAGTCCCAGCCCCCTCCCCCATCCTCATGACAACCTCGACCCCCCGGGGCCTGAGACGGCCCCGCTCCACTCAAAGCTTCTAGTGTCTCGGTACCACCAGACCACATCCCCCTAAGGAATTAGGGAAGAGTTGCTGTAAAAGTCCAAAATGAAAGGCTCTCAACAAAGAATGGACAGGCTTTATGTACAAAGCATGGTGTTGATGAAGCCTAAGGCTGCATCGGAAACTCTAGGCAGAGACAGTTTTTTTCGGAAACCTGTGGTTCGGTTGTGCAGTTGTTGGGGAAAGGTCGTTGACATACTCATGTAATGATACCGGTACACAAAGTGACATTCAAATGTACAAACATATTTATAATTATCAAAAAATACATTCATGACATATTGTTAACACTGAATTAAAAATTTGGTATATTCCAAATCATCTCTGATCATTCCTATAGTTGACATTGAGTCAGAATTAGTTGCTCCAATGAGGAAAAAAAATGATTGTGGAATAATGGAATGAAATTTTATTCATTTGTATATGAATTAATTTACATTGTTCACATAGATTGCATTTTTTTAAAAACACTGTCTTTTATCCAAAAGAATTAGTTTTATGAAAAAATGAGAAAAAGAATAGTGTCATTCTTATTTGTGCCATGTTAAAAATGAAGATCTTTGTTGGGTCTACAAGCTTCATTTGAGCTCGTAAGGTGCTTTTATAAAATACATGTTTTAATGGACGTAATAAGCATGAGACCCCTGGCCAGTATATATAACTAAGGGATGGAGATTTATATTTTTTTCCTGTGGAATTATATGTAACAATGCAAATTGTGAAAGAGTTACTTTGCATCAAATGTTTGAATAGAGGGCAATTGTTTGCAAAGTGATTATAAAATGAGATTATGGCTGTACATATATCTCGCCAAATCTGTACATAATGTAAAAAAATATATTAATTTTTCTCTGTATTAATTATGAAAAGTATATTTTTTAATTGTTGAAAAAATGATATGTATACATTAAAAGCATAAAATTGCAATGCTATTTCCAGCCAATTTTATTTTCTTTATTCTTTCTCAGTGAGTAGTCTTTGGTTTTGATAAAAAAAAAATGTGAAACATTATATTTGGATTCTTTTGCTCATCTTTTGTGAACTAGTCATTTTAAAAAAAGTGAAAGTACTTGCATGCACAAATTAGAAAGTGAATGAAAATAGAAAATCAATTATCATGGCATTTTTAATTTATGGATTTATTTTATACAAATCATTGAATTATTGTTAGGTCTTAATTGTTTTAACATCACTTAAGATGAGGCTGTATAATTTGTGGTGCAGAATAGAGTTGTGTCCCTTGAACATTAATGTAAATTCAGTTAAAAAGTTTTTAAAATAACAGTGGGTTTTTATTTAGCCATTATTGTTAACATTATAAGTGCTGCGAACATTTATTTGATGTGATAAGTGAAAAATAAGCCATAGACATCTACCATTGTTTGTGTGTTTTGACTAGCATTATTTGTCAAATTTAAAAAAAAAAATAAAATGTGATATGCTTGGAAACAAATCTATATTAAAATTTGCATATAATAAAAAATTGTGTTCCTTGTTTTGGATCCTTGGTGCCAAAATGGAAGGATCACAAGAATTTATGAAAAAAGGAGAAAAACAAATGAGTATGCTATCAATCTCGGGATTAAAGTTCATTGATACTCTGATAAGAGAGATAACTCCTCTTATTCTTTGATAGAAAATTGACAAGTTGAAATATATAGAATATGATCATGTGACTTACTTCATGTCATATCCCAATGAAACTCTAAAAATGATATCTCATTTCTTTAATGTCTTTTGTCTAATTCTGCCCCCGTAGGGTATGCTACAACTGCTTGTATTTTACTAATAAAATACTTTCCTTTTGAAGAAAAATGAGAGGTAAGGCAAACTTTGAAATAATGTTTGTTTGCTATTGCCCTCTCTCGATTCGGGATGATCAAGTTGAAACGGTAAAGCAACATTGTATAGAGCGAGCAGAGGGTTTATGAACCTTAAATGAGATTCAGGCATTTATTATAGCTTGGAGTCAAATTCAAATCCAGTGTAGTGCAGTTAGGATATGTCTCTTTCAGATAATTATGAAGAGACAAGATTATCTTTCAGAATCGATTTAAAATGGGAACGTATAATGGTAACCTTGGCGGATGTTGCCAGGAGAATGCACTAGGGAGGGGACATCAGGGAATGGAAGTACTCGTATGATATTTGGAGATGTAGGTACATGTAATATAAGGAATGGGATGATACAATTACAGTATGCTGTGCTCTCATGTTTGGAATTATACAAGTACATGTACTCTGTGATTATTGCATAAAAATGATATTCCATGCAATTTTCATTCATATATGTGTAATTGCGAGTTGGTTTGGAGAAAAATATACGTTCGTCGATATGCTTTAACTATAATGTATATATATAGTATTTTGGAATAACAGTTGCGTGCTTCCCATTAATTCCATCAACAGAATGTCAAGGAAAAAATAAAGATCAAAAGATTGATTTCAAAAAATACGTCATAACACAGAGATTTTCAACTGAACAATGGTTGGACGGTTCCACGAGTAATTATCAGCGTGCATCACAAAACAGTGGAGGAACCAGTCCGAGTATAGATGAATATGACTATATATATAGCTGTTGCAATATATATACTGGCTTGCATCTTGCGTAGAGTATTGCACTTTTGTAGGTTGTTTGATTCATTCGACTAAGGGTACACATGGGAACAAAATGCAAGCTGATATAGATTTACAGCTGCCTCCATGTAGTATGAACAGTTTGTGCATATACAAAAAAACATATAGTGGTGCATTTTGTCGCTTCATACAATCAGGCGCGTAGCATTGTTACAACGCACTTTGAAAAATTACGCACTTTGAAAAAAATTTTCAAAGTGCGTTAAATTTGGGACCAAGCTATAACGCACTTTGAAAAAATTTAATTTTTTTTCAAAGTGCGTTGATATCGACCATATTGACGCACTTTGAAAAAAAATGTAGGTTGATCAATATTCTTACAAATAATCGGCTGATAAATAACAGATCCTGGATGGATAACTTTTTTTATGATGAAGTCACTTCAGGACCTGAGAAGTTGACGTTTTAAATATTTGAGGCTTTGATAAAATAAAAGGGAAAAGGGTCTTGAAAAAAAGAGTGACGATTGTTTAAGATCATTAATTCGTTTCTTTCTTTTCTTTAAATTCTAGTCTTTGATAAGTATATGTAAAGGTGTAAAGGGGGCACAAACAGTGGACAGCTTAAAGCAACTCAGCATTTATCATAATAAAAAGGGGGCAATTTGATTGTTCAAAACTATGAAAGTTCTTTCTCTCTCATACGTTTTACTGTACTTCAATATTTCTAGTTTTCATCTGTTTTAATTAACTCATTTAATATTGAAAGTTTTCAACGTCATACCAGTTAGGTAAATACATAATTATATAAATGTTTTGAGTATAGCGTAGACATCGAGACCGGGCAATGGGCCAGGGGAGGAGGGGCTTAGCCCCCCACTTATTCTGGAAAGATATACTGAGTATATACATCGTATAAGCATTAAAAATGCAGCTTACCCTTTTTGGGTTTAATGCTCCCCTCCCCCGTTTGTTACCGACACCTATGTATTCAAAAGATAAAGATTTGGACTGAGGGATCTTATACCCGTCTTCTCCTTTTTACATCAATCAAGTTAATCAATTCATAAGTTTTTTGAAAGATAAATAACAAATAAAATCTTTCCATTACTAAAATATGATTTTTTTTCAAAGTGCGTTAAGTGTCTCCATGGTAAAATATATTGATGTAGACTCTTAACGCACTTTGAAAAATATTTTCAAAGTGCGTTGAGTTGGTCCCAAATTTAACGCACTTTGAAAAAAATTTTCAAAGTGCGTTGATTTTGTCCCAATTTTAACGCAGAAGTGCGTAATTTTTTCAAAGTGCGTTGCCACATAGCAACGATTTTGAAAGTGGGGGGGGGGGGGGGGCAGCCACAGAATTTTTTTTTACTTACCTGAAAAAAGTTGACAAGCAAAAAAAAAAAAAAAAAAAGGATAATTGCCCAAACTCGAAAATCCTATTTCGTGGGGGGTACAATACTATATTCCCTTCATATTACTTTACTTTACTAAAAAGTGGAGGGGGGGCAACCAGCCTTTCAATGAACATTTAATTCAATACTAAAAGTATTGTTGGCAAAAAAAGTGGGGGGGGGGGAGGCCCCCCTGTTGCTACGTCCCTGACAATGTACATACTGTCGTCAGCAACAATATGCACGCCACCTAACCTTGTTGCACATATTGTCGTTTAATGTCACCCGCTTTCGCGAAAGCGAGGGGACATTAAATCTCATTCGTCTGTCCGTCTGTCTAGCTGTGTGTCCGTCACAAAAACTTTAACCTTGCCCACAACTTTTCATTTAGTGGAGCTATGACTTTCATATTTCACATGTGTATTTCTTGTGACAAGACCTTTCTTTGGGTACCACCAAATTTGACCTTTTGACCTTGACCTTGGAGTTTGACCCACTTTTACACAAAAATTCCAAAGTTTTACTTTGGCCATAACTTTTGAATGGTAGGTACTAGGACTTTCATATTTCACATATGTATTCTTTGTGGCAAGACCTTTCATTGGATACCAACAACCTTGACCTTTTGACCCTGACCTTTGCGATTTACGTACTTATGAAAAAACTTTAACCTTGACCGTAACTTTTGAACGGTGAGGGCTAGGGCTTTCGTACTTCACATGTGTAATCCTTGTGAGAAGACATTTCATTGGATACCTAGAACTTTTACCCTTTGACCTTGACCTTAGAGTTTTAACTACTTTTAAGAAACTTTAACTTTGGTCACAACTTTTGCACGGTAGATACTAGGACTTTCATATTTCACATATATATTCTTTGTAGTAAGACCTTTAATTGGATATCAACAACCTTGACCTCTTGACCTTGACCTTAAAGATTTACGTACTAATGAAAAAACTTTAACCTTGACCATAACTTTTGAATGGTAAGGGCTAGGGATTTCATACTTCACATATGTAATCCTTGTGAGAAGACCTTTCATTGGATATCAACAACTTTGACCCTTTGATCTTGACCTTGGAGTTGACCTACTTTTAAAAAACTTTAATTTTGGCCATAACTTTTTAACGGTCAGGATTAGGGTTTTCATCTTTCAAAAAAATCAACTTCAATGATAATTTCTATAAATAAATGACATATGATAGGACGTTTATATTAGACACAATATGTCATAAAAAATAACATCTCACCCACAAAGACACCGAAAGCGGGGGACCACAATTCTTTGAATTTGCTTGTTGGCACATATTCTCGTCGACTGTAAAATTATCTATAAGATGTACATTTTATCGGCGGCGAAAATATGTGCCTACCCTCAATATATTGCACATATTATTGTCGCACCTTCATCGTTAAATTTTCCTTTTTCTATCTTGCTTCTCAATTTTTTTCCAGAAAAAATGACTGATCGTTCTTCAAAATACATAATTTGTCCTTTACTGGCATGAAGACTCAAATATCCCTCCTCTCAGAGCCATGAATGAAGTTTGAATGCTTGGTATAAGAGCGATAACTCTTATAATTTTTTTTATGATAGCTCTGTGGCAACGCACTTTGAAAAAATTACGCTCTTTGAAAAAAAATTCAAAGTGCGTTAAAATTGGGACAAAATCAACGCACTTTGAAAATTTTTTTCAAAGTACGTTAAGAGTGTACATCAACATTTTTTACCAAGGGAAAATTTAACGCACTTTGAAAAAAATATGTATAAAACAAAAATTCTAGACTAAGATTTTAGTAATTGAGAGAATTAATTTGTAATAATTATATCTTTCGAAAATTTGTAATAATTATATCTTTCGAAAAACTTTTTAATTTACATGTGTTGATTTAACTTCATTGAGAACTAGTGCTAATTGTAACGGGGACCGTTACAGATGTTCCCCAAACGCTCCCAAACTCCCTTTTATAGTCATATTCCCTGCAAGCGTAATCAAATAAGACAAACTCTATGCATTTGAGACTTTAACAACGTTTACCCAAAAGTGTACTATGTTCATTCAAATTTTATCATTGCACACTTGCGCATGTGAATGCATGTGCGTATAATGACCATATCATATTGTCTACACAATCTATATATTTTAATATGCTAAATATTAAAGATCTAATCCAAAAGTATAAAAAAAACGTTCATTCAAGTGTATTTTTAATTTTACCATTTTACAGTTCACGTGCACGCAAGTGCATACATGAGCATGATGACCATACCTTCTTGTATAAGTCCATTACATCTATCTACGTTCTAAATCTCACCCCGTTTGGTTCAAAACCAAGGGAGCTATAGCTGTTTAAAGTTTCAGCCAATCAGATTGCAGCGCACGTACACGCACATGCATGCATGTATGTGCATGGTGATCATGCCTTCTTGTAGAAGTCCATTATATATCTCTATGCTCTAAATCCAATCCTGTTTGGAGTTAAAACTGTTTAAAGTTTCAGCCAAT